GATGCTAAATATAGAACACTGAACCATATCTGGAGCTAAAGACAATATGCAGAGACATATCTTGGTAATGTGCTCTGTATGTGTAGACCTTTCTATCTCTGTACAAGGCAGCCATGCGCTCTTTCTACATTTTTTGTTCTTTGCTTCTACCATTTTACTGACCTGGAAAGGTGAGTTTGGGCTAGCCAAAAAGACTGTAACCCACGGCAGTATGTAGTAAGTAAACACTATGCTTGCTCTACATAAAAAACGAATTTGCCAGGGACTCCCTACTTACAGACCCCGAAGTATTCACTTCCATCAATGCGGCCTTGACCGAATTCTTCCTCCTCAATGCCTCATCGGTAGTATCCTCTGGGGTGGTCTGGGAGGCGCACTACCATTGGGAAACTGATCGCATTGGCCTCTAAAATTAAAAGGAAACGGGAGGAACGAATACGCCAATTGGAGCTGTCATTGGAACAGGCTTCCCGGGCTTTCCAGGAGGTACCATCTGGGGAAAATAGATCCCACCTATCCTCAGTCAAGACAGAGCTAAACTTATACTTGACACATAAAGCGGAAGCTCAGTTGCGTTGGGTGAAACACAAATTTTACGTACAGGGAGACAACCCGGGTAAAATGTTAGCCGCCAGGTTAAGGGATGCGGGTCCCAAATTTACCCCGATACGATTGAGAGTTGGCCGGGACAACCTGACTTCCCACCCGGTTAAGATTCTACAGACGTTCCAAAGCCACCTTCAAGCCCTTTACCATTCCAAGGGACAGCATTCGCCACCGGCCTTAGAAAATTTCCTGACACATCTGAATCTCCCTACCCTGACGGAAGAAGCTAGGTCAGATATTGATTCAGAGATTACGCTTCTGGAAGTCCAAAATGCCATTAAGACACAAGCTAATGGGAAAAGACCAGGCCCAGATGGATTTACGGCCCTGTACTATAAAAAAATGTCCGACATACTTCCCCTAAAATGATATGATTTTATTTACCTAATATTTTCTGTCCCAGGGTCCAGCGATATTTCCGACATACTTTCCCCTCACTTAGTTACACTTTTTAATGATTTACGTAAAGGTCTACTGCCGCCCAGGGACTCCCTGATCTCTGCCATCAGCATGATTCCCAAACCCCATGCCGATCACTCCTCTTGGGAAAATTATAGACCTATTTCCTTAACCAATATCGATATAAAATTACTCACTAAAATATTGGCTCTCAGAGTGAACTTACATGTCAATGCGTTGGTGTCCAAGGACCAGGTGGGGTTCATGCCAGGACGCCAAGCCGGGGACAACATACGTTGTATATCCTTGATCCTACACATTGCTCGTTCCAGGCATATACCACTTATGTTATTGTCTTTGGACATTACCAAGGCTTTTGACTCTATTGACTGGGACTACCTGAAGGGGGTGCTTCGGCATTGGGGTTTTGGACAGTCCTTCATGAGATGGATAGACTCATTGTATTCCACCCCCTCAGCATATGTGCAGTATCAGGGATTCAGGTCAGTGACCTTTCCGATCTCCAGGGGGACCAGGCAGGGGTGTCCACTCTCCCCTCTCCTGTTCGCCCTGGCGATCGAACCCCTAGCCCAAGCTATCCGCCTACATAGAGAGGTCCAAGGCATAGAAGAAGCAGGGTACCATCATAAACTCAGCCTCTTCGCGGATGATGCGCTTCTAATGATCTCTGACCCTATTAAGTCACTGCCCACACTTTTGACACTACTACACCAATTTGGAACTCTATCAGGCCTACAGGTTAACCCAGCCAAAACAAAAGCACTCAACGTCTCTTTACCACCCGCCCTTTATGGCTCCTTAAAAGTCTCCTTCCCTTATACATGGGTACAAACGGCTCTCCCCTATTTAGGGATACACTTAACCCCGACGTATGATACATTGTATTCTGCCAATTAGCCTAAATTATTTACCCACTTGATGTCGCTCCTAAACTCCTGGACTAAACATCATATCTCATGGCTAGGTAGAATCACAGCGGTAAAGATGTCTCTTCTGCCGAAATGTTTGTATTTTGCCAGGGTTTTACCCATTCCGGTCCCAGCTTTTAGGATACGCCTACTCAACGCCATGTCCTTAGATTCATATGGTCCGGCTCCATCCCCAGAATTGCTAGATCAGTTCTATACAGGTCAAAACTGAAGCGTCCTTGATGGACTCCCTACAGAGGGAACTTCCTCCCTATGCCTCAAAATGGGAACAGGAATTGGGGGGCCCCGTTGGACTGAACACATGGTCCCAAATCTGGTGCACGACCGCAAAAAGTTCCTCGAGTGTGCAGGCAGTGGAAGCGAACTACAAACTCTTACTGAGGTGGTATTTGGTCCCCCAGCGTATTGCCCGTGCAGTTCCCTCCAGGTCCCCGTTCTGCTTTAGAGGATGTCAGACTGACGGGACCTTCATACATATCTGGTGGGAGTGCCCCAAGATCCGGCGGTTTTGGTCTCGGGTGTATCAGCTAATTTATACTGTAACAGGTCGTTCCTTTTGCAAGGATCCGACTGAGGCACTACTCGGGAAGAAACCGGTTTCATGCTCATGGACCCAATTTAAGCTGGTCACTCATATTCTGACTGAGGCCAGAAGAGTGATTGCACGCTCATGGCGCACTACTTCGGTCCCCTTTGCAGCAGTTAAACCAAGGGTCTCACAAATCATGTTCCTTGAGAAAATGTCGGCTGTCCAGTCAGATTTGTTGCCTAAATTTGAAAAAATATGGGAACCTTGGGTTGTCTCCTATATGCCCCCCAAACTTCCACTTGGATTCACTCATTCTTTAACCCCCCTTTATGCCTGATTACCCCTGTCACCCATTCTGCTCTTCCCCCCCACCCCCTCCTCTTTGCGATACGTCTCCTTCACAAGATTTCTGTTCGGGCAGAGCCTGAACGGTGGTTTGACCACCCTCTTTACAGTTTGTACTAGACTACTGATTGACATAGGTTGCGAGTCTTGATGTATACTGTCAATTTTTTGCGGCATACGCAACACAGATTATGTACCTGAGTCTTTTTGTTTATTGGGCTGTATGTACAGCTTTGATACCATTGTATATGATGTTTACATCTGCAAAAAACAGTTATATTTTCTTTTCTAAAAATAATAAAAATTGATTGAACAAAAAAACGAATTTGCATAATTTATGCCACATTCTTGCGCCTTAGAGATAATCCCCATTTTCCAATCTGAAGTTAATGATACACTCGGAACATTAGGGAGTCCATCATGCTTGGGGTGGCTCCCTCTGACAGTGTATATATACTCCATTGGCCACTTGTATATCTAGCTCAGGTAGTGACGGGTCAACATCCTCATCCTTTTATATACCAAGTCCTAGGAAATTTGCGGTTTTTAGATGAGGGATAAGTGGAACAACGGGGAGATAAATAAACTGGGAGTTCAGAATTTCAGTTTAAGTTGGCAGCAGATGACAGTGCTAGTGCAACTTTAAATTTGGAAGATATATCCTGAACAACAGCCCCACAAAAATCGCTATTTCTTCAATTTGTAGCCCTATGAGCCTAACTTACAAGCCAGATAAGATTTATGTGCATAGATCCTCAAAATGACGATTACCCATCAAGGAGACTGATATCAGTAAGTCGTCCAAGATACATTCTACAGAAAAACCATGGACAGATAGAGACCATGGATTTTCCCCCTCCGACTCATTGGCATGGTGAGATCATGCCTGCCTTGGTGAACCTTACTTTCTAATCTCTGTTAGTCATTTGGCTTTGTCTAGATTAGGTTTCCATTACAATATGTGCCAGCCTGTAGCAATAGGGCATGTGCTATCTCCAATATCTGGAGATGGAATGATGTTGATCTTCCTACTACTCTAAACAACTTGTTCATACAAAAGAGTTTTCAGATGACAAAAGCCTCCCCCCTCAACATGGATATTCTGGTATTTCAACCCAGATGAGCAAAGGGAACTGGTAGGCCTTTCCTGATTTCTGTTTGCCAGCAGATATTGTGCTAGACAGGCAAAACATTTATTTTTGATTTTTTTTTTTTTGCTGCCACCCTGAAGGGCAGCCTCAGTCTGGAAGGGCTGCCACATTAGGGAAACAGTCAACTTCATGTTTGTTGGTATGAATGGGCATTCAATCTGGAGGTCAAACAAAACAGCCAGTTGGCTATATTTTTCTATGTGAAATCCAGGGAGGGTCTAGAGGCAACAAATGCATTTTCTTAGTAGCAGAGCCATCCTCATATGGAAATAGTGCTGCTGCTGCAGGCTTTGGTTTTCCATCCACAAATTCTCTAAATTTGATGGCCTGGTGATTGAGTAGCAGGTGAAGTCTTCATTTGAAAGTATTTAACACCCTCCTTTAGTAGAACATTGGCCTCCCATTAAAAAAAGTGCTATAGCCCTTAAAGCTTATCTCAGGGCAAACATAAAAAAAAGTACCCTTGCAGAGGGGATACTCCTGCACTGCAGCCTCGATATAGCTGCATTAGATGTGAGGAAATCAGGGACACTTCACCAACTGGAGCAGAAGGAAGAAGAGGAGCACCATGACAGCTGGAGTAATGGGTTTCAGGTAAGTAAATCCACTCTACTCCAGTCCCTAGACAAAAATGAGCACCTAACCCTTATAGGTTTAGCCCCACTGCAAGGGCAATGTTATTGTTTGTCCAGAGATGGGTTTTAAAATATAAATGCATCTGCACATTTTTCCCTTAGTTCCCCTGTCAAACAAATACCGGTACTTTTTTGAGCCAACCAGTTTAATTTACCTGATGCAGCTTTCTGTGATGGTCTGGCAACGATGCTGCACTGCTTCTGAATCCAGTGAAGAATTGCCACTCTCCTGTTGGCTGTGCCTACCTGGGGATGAAAAATATGTTGCAAGAGATTGCTCTTCAGCCCTTTTTAATAGCTTCATCATAAGCTTGTGGAATTGCTAGATTTGTCTATTAAAGCGTCTTACATGATCATTCAGGAGGAGTTTTAGATATCCACAAGAATAAAAAAATAAATCTCCTCTACTTCTGAATATGGGGGTGTGTGAGCCGATACGTTTTTGGCTTTGAAGAACAGACCATGAACTACAGGTTTGAAGCAAATACTTAACTAAGAATATCCCACAGAATTCTTACTCGGCTGCTTTCTCTTCTAACCACTCAGAATTCTGAATGTTGTACTGCAACCTGGTTGTTATAGATGTAATGTATATGAAATCTATATAATGAACTCTTTATCGGGTACATAAATATAGATACTAGGGATATACCGATACTAGTATCGGTGCCGATACCGAGTATTTGGGCGAGCACCCGTACTCGCCCAAATACTCCCTATGCCTATCCTGATACCTGAACTTCCAATATCAGGAAGCCAGGTGGCGAGTCATTACACGCTGCCCAGCTTCCTGATTGGCCAGGAAGCTGGCTCCATGCTCCCTTGTCACCAGAGAGCATGCAGCTGGCTTCCTGGCCAATCAGGAAAGCCGCGAAACAGGTAATGACCCCCCCCCCCCCCAACCCCCAGCTTCCTGACTAACCAGGAAGCAAACTCCATGCTCCCTCATCACTTGATGACGAGGGAGCATGAAGCCGGCTTACCAGCCAATCCGCATGTAATGCCTCGCCACCCAGCTTCCTGATTGGCCAGATAGCCGACACCTGGTGATGAGGGAGCATGGAGACGGCTTCCCGGCTAATCAGGGAGCCCGGGCGGCAAGTCATTACACGGCACCCGGCTTCTTTAATGGGGCTTCCAGTATCCGTATTCAGTATCGACAAAAGAATTTCAGTATTCTATTCCCGAAAAAACGGTATCGGTGCAATAGATACTATGTACTACATATAGATAGTATTATATTAAATAATATTATACATACCTTACAGGGAGCAAAAGAAAATAGAGGAATGGATGACACTTTGAGATCTGGAACTACTTAGGACTCATAGTATTTGTATTAATATCCAATTCTTAATTTAAACCAAAGGGAGACCTGGTGTTTTGAGTTTATGTTCAGATAGTTTTGCAAGATTTTAATTTCTAGGTACATTGACCTATTTACCCTTAACACCCTTTTTATTTTTTTAATGAACTGTTTGGCTACTCTTTCATCCTACAGAGGTAAGGGGTGATTTCTTTAGGGCAACTAGTATATTCATAAAGAAGCTTCCCATTTTCACAATACTTGGTGTATGTATACCTTTTTCTGGATGTTTCTCATTTGTCCTGGTGATCATTATTCCCAAGGCAGAATGTGATGGGAAGTCAAACATTTTACAGTTGTTACCAAACCAAGAGATGTGGGTAAATCATCCAATGAGGACAACTGACAAGATGGAACTTAACTTTGTAGAAATGTCCTGCTGTGTTTCTAGGACAGGAAGTGAAGGGAAATCTCTCCAATAGGACACAGATAGGAAACCTTCAGGCCCCGTTCACATTGAGCGATTTATCGCGCGGTAATTCCCGCGATATCGCAGCAATTTACCGTTCGATATCGCTCTCCAATGCTTCTCAATGGGGCAAAGGGTCCTGCTGTCGCGGGTCGTGTGTCGCTACAGGAGGACCCTTTTTGGAGTGGATTTAGCCGCGATTCAAGCTTGTGCAATGCAAGCATTTGCGCGATATCGCGCAAAATGCTAATCGCTCGACAAATGCGCGATTTGCGAACCGCTCAATGTGAACGGGCTCTCAACTGACATGGTTTCTAACCCTCCCCCATGAAAACTTGTTAAAAAAAGTATTTTTGCCTATACACACTTTCAAATTTTTAAGAACCTGCTGACCTTTTAGATTTTAAAAGGTGTGTATTTTTTATTTTATTTTTTATTTTGCTTAAAGGCTTCTTTATTTTGCAGGCATATGTGCTTCTGGGACAGTTTCTTATGTTAAGGAAGGATGCAGATGATTTCTTTAAAGACTGGTTGAAAGATGCGTGTGGAGCAAATTCCCGTCAAGCAGAGTTATGTGCCTCTTGTCTGAAAGAATGGTGTTCATCCTTCCTCTGAAGATTCTCATCAACGATAAAGTTATATATTTATTGACATTCAGTTTTACATTATATCAGCTTATATCTCCTAAACTGTTTGCTAAGGAATAAACATTTAATGTAAAGCGATCTCTGTGCAGCCTTTACACCATACTAGCTAGCTTACCCAAATACACTGCACATCAGCACGGACCAATAAGCAAGGTGTGTATATTTAAAAATGTGCTTCTGTTAAAGCAGAAATGCAGTCCTAATTAAAAAGCAGAATATTGTTTTAAAATTAGTTGTTAAATTCACTCTATTTCTGTTCAATTTGATTGTGATGACATGATTCTGGATGCCCCTTCATGACTGACAGCACAGTTAAGGAAGGGTCTGAGTGTGAAACATACATTACATGCACATGCACATGAACTTTAATGGCATCCCAGTCTTAGTCTGTAGGGTTCAATATTGAGTTTGCCCATCCTTTGAAGCTCTAACACAGGGCTGCCCATTAGGTAGATCGCGATGTTCTGTCTAATCTGGATTCCCGCTGCTTTCACCCATCTGTATACAGCGGGGATCCTTGGAAAAGTGAAGCTGCAGTCGGCGGGGGACGCAGCCGCTATCACAGCAGCACGCCGAGTGGTGAGGAGAGAGAGCCGATCTGACAGCAGCTCTCTCTCTCTCCTCACCGCACATGCTGCCACAGCGGCTCTGCCATCCCCCTCCGCGGCGGCTGAAGTGCTTCCTTCACTTCTCCTCGGATCTCCCGCTGCCTCTGCCCGGGAGAACAACGGGGGATCCAGAGGAGAAGTTGCAGCCCCCCTCTGTGCGTGGCCAAGCGACAGGGGATCGGTACACATCAGTGATATGTACCAATCCTCTGTGCAGGACAAACACTGGAGCGATCAGCTGGTCACTCCAGTGCTTGTAAATAATAGTACTATGTGTCACCAGTTATTAATGAACAGGATGTGATTTACATAACTTCCTGTTCATGCATGAGTTTCTCAATAGGGAGGGGCATTGTACATTGTAGGCTCCTCCCCATTCAGAAACTGGATGATGGTAAATATTTTCTGAATGAATAGAAGCCTCTGTGCTTTCCATTCATTTAGAACAGAAGCTACAGAAAAAGAGTGAGGACTTTTGTGTCCTCAATTTCTTTTTCTATTTTAAAAGGGAAATATCAGGGGCTGTTTAGACCCCAGATATTTCACCATAGCCCCCCCCAACAGTAAAAACAAATATTAAAACTTAAATAAGAAATAACATTAAAATCAAAAATGGTAAAAAATAATATACCAAAAATGTCTGCAAAAATAGTGCTTGCAGCATTTTTGCGGATCGCACTGGACCGGAACGCAGGCACTAATGTGCCTGGGTTGTGGGCGAGGGACCTGGCTGCGGTGCCATTGACTGCAATGCACCACCAAGCCCCCTCCCGCCCCTGAACGCAGGTGTTTTTTCGTTGGTAGATCTCATTGAGCTCGTCATTTGAAAAGTAGATCTCCAAAGGAAAAATTGTGGGTGCCCCTGAGCTAACAGCTTCAACTCTTCTGGGAAGGCGTCCCCAAGATTTAGGAGTGTGTCTATGGGAATGTTTGACCATTCTTCCAGAAGCGCATTTGTGAGGTCAGGTACTGATGTTGGACGAGAAGGCCGGGCTCACAGTCTCCACTCTAATTCATCCCAAAGGTGTTCTATCGGGTTGAGGTCAGGATTCTGTGCATGCCAGTCAAGTTCCTCCACCCCAAACTCGCTCATCCATGTCTTTATGGACCTTGCTTTGTGCACTGGTGCGCAGTCATGTTGGAACAGGAAGGGGCCATCCCCAAACTGTTCCCACAAAGTTGGGAGCATGAAATTGTCCAAAATGTCTTTGTATGCTGATGCCATAAGTGTTCCCTTCACTGGAACTAAGGGGCCAAGCCCAACCCCTGAAAAACAACCCCACACCACAATCCCTCCACCAAACTTTATACTTGACACAATGCGGTCAGGCAAGTACCGTTCTCCTGGCAACCGCCAAACCCAGACACGTCCATCGGAATGCCAGACAGAGAAGCGTGATTCGTCACTCCAGAGCACACGTCTCCACCTCTCTAAAATCCAGTGGTCGTGCTTTACATCACTGCATCCGACGCTTTGCATTGCACTTGGTGATGCTTGGATGCAGCTGCTTGGCCATGGAAACCCGTTCCATGAAGCTCTCTATGCACTGTTGTGCCAATCTGAAGGCCACACGGAGTTTGGAGGTCTGTAGCTATTGACTCTGCAGACAGTTGGCGACTTCTGCGCACTGTGAGCTTCAGCATGCGCTGACCCCCGCCCCCTGTCATTTTACATGGCATACCACTTCGTGGCTGAGTTGCTGTTGTTCCCAATTGCTTCCACTTTGTTATAATACCACTAACAGTTGGCCGTGGAATATTTAGTAGCAAGGAAATTTCACGGATGGATTAATTGCACCGGTGACAACCATGCTTGAATTCACTGAGCTCCTTCACTGAGCACTGAGCGACCCATTCTTTCACAAATGTTTGTAGAAGCGGCCTGCATGCCTAGATGCGTGATTTTATACACCTGTGGCCATGGAGGTGATTGGAACACCCGAATCAAATGATTTGGAGGGGTGTCCCAATACTTTTGGCAATACAGTGTATTTCCATTTTATTAGACAAGTTGTTTTTTTTCCCCCCTGGTTTAAATTCGGCTATTGCTAAGTAAGAGGAACGGCTGCACGAAAGAGCAAAAACTGAAATCCGACATACCTGGGAAGGAGAGACATAGCATTTTTCAACAAATCTAAATGGGTGAACTTTTGCATTGGAATAATTTTTCTTCTGATATTCAAAGGTTGGCTCCAGCCAAAATGAACTTTTGTTTTAAATGTGTTTTAGTGCAATTAAACAAACTCCAATTTTGTGTTGATTACTAATCTCTTGTCAAATACTTCCATGAGGTATTCCCCTAATCAGTCTCCCAAAATGTTCTTCTGCATGTACACAATCCTTCCTCAAAAATATACACCCCTTCCCTCTCTAAACTATACTTCCAGCTTCACGACATTCAATGTCGCACAGCAGCTACCTGTCAAAGGTGCTCTTGATTGCAGGTCCCTCTGTACCATACTTGCCCTCTGATGCTCAGTGCGTTGCACATTGGGCTGTGTAACATGTAATACATTGGGGGACATGTACCAGGTGGGTTTGCTTAGTGATGATGCAGGGGCTTTAAGCCAAGTAACCGCCTGTCCACAACCCTTAAAAGGAATGAGTGGAATGATTTGATCATATAAATATACTGTATATTTCTGTTCGGGGGGGGGGGGGGGGGGGTTTTTTTTTGTAAACTTGATTGCAGTTCCTCTTTAATTTTATCTTCTCTGCTCTGACATTGCTTGACAGATTCTGCAGTTCTATTCATGGTTATATCTGTCACTTTCACAAGAGAGACAATCGCTCTCTTTCTTGTCTGTATTAAAGGAAATGTTGATTGAGATAATAATCTGATTATTGCTGACTTCTGCAATTTCTAGTTGTCTGTGGTCCCAATACCTACTCTGTTCTAAATCACTAACCATAGAACAAGCATGCAATCCGTGAATTAGGAAGTGGGTAAATGACTCAAAGCACTGAAACATTTTGATCAGTACAACAATCAGGAAACCAGATTGATGGTGACAGCAGTGTTAATGGTCTCAAATGATGTTGGGGAATTGTGAAATATCAAGTGTGTGTCCATGGATTATAGACCTGTTTAGGTACGCAATGCACTGGCCTAATTGGTTTTTTTTGTCTTCAATTTCTGTCCACTGCAGTAAAGATTTTAGTGGACCAATGATCTCTGAGCATTTTGCAGCAGCTATTATGTTTGCCACCAATTGTTAAGCAACACTTTTTTTAAAAAATCCTGCAATAGGTTGAGTGTAAAACTGTTAGCAGAAGCAGAGATGATGCTTGCTTTGGGAATGTGTGTAAAGTCTTGAGATGGAACTCCAGATAGCGATAGTTGGAATACATATGAAGTATTTTACCTGTTAAATTGTAATGCTGTTCTTGTGATTTACTGCATAGGCAATCAGGTGCTACCATTATTTCAGCGTCCTGTGTTACCCATCAGACAATCACTAATGTGATTATGAAGATTTGTTGTCCTGTAAGCAGGCTGAAGGTGCCCATACACCTTACGATAATCGTATGCGATCGACTTTCGTAACGTGTGAATGTAGTGCCCGCCCAATTGTACGACTTTTGACGGTCAAGCATGTTTGAAAACTTTGGTCGATCGTACGATGTTCGCATGGTTGGTGGCGTTTCAGTCCGTCAAAAGTCGTACGATTAACACTGCGCATACGAAAATTGCGGTCAATTACTGCAAGTCGTCCAGGTGTTTTTTTTGTTCTAGCTGCCGCTGATTGAACCTTGCGATAATCGGGGCAGGATGGGGCTGCCGTACGAAAATTGTACGACAGTTCGTTTATCGGACGAAAAGTTTCGTCCGATAATCGTAAGGTGTATGGGCACCTTGAGGATAGAGAGTTGAGTGAGTACAAAAGCAGGATAGCTACACCAGGAAGAAAGGTTGTCATGTGATTGAAAGCAATTATAAATCTTTGGGTAGGTGAAAGAATTCATGTACCGTATTTATAAATTTGTTTGGAGGTCTATAAAACAGTGGATGAGCAGGTGGAGAGTTACAAGGGATATACCGTAACATTGGAGGACAGAATCTTACAGGGTTATTCACAAAAGGGTGAAGAGTTTGGAAACCTGAACAATCTAGGACAACAGAGCTGAACTGGAAAGTGAGCTGAATTGAATTTTTCCAAATCAGCTATTTTGGTCTAAGTTGGAGAAGTGAACAAACTCTTTACCCTTTATGAGTAACCCTGTTGGTTTGTGAAAAACTTTACTTTCAGCCCAGTTGTTGCATATTAGTCGCTTATTCCCCAGCTTGGCACCACTCTTTGCTATGGGCATCCACACCACCTAAAGATGAGTCTCTTTCATACCTCCCTTCAGCACAAATGGTTTTGGAACAGGGCGTTAATGTTTTGAACCAAATGCCAGCACTATGACTGACCATTTAAAGTGGAACTAAACAAAACAAAAAAATTGCCATGTTATAGGGAACATTTATAAATGTTAACTTTACGGTGAAAATATTTTCTGATCAATTCTCTCTTAAAAAAATAAAAAAAATAGTTCAGTTCCTGGTATGGGAGGATGCTTGGGCACTCCTGTGCCTACAGTATCCTAGCTGTATCTCTTCAGTGTGAGTTCAGGGCAGTGCTACCCTCTGCTAGTATCAGGAGATTTGGAGTGAGTTTTGGGGATGTCATTACTGTGCTGCTCACTAATCTTGCTGGAGGCATTGACATAGGGAAATAAAACCCTGCCTCTACACGGAAACAGTGCAGAACATAGTTACATAGTTAGTCAGGTTGAAAAAAAGACTCTAGTCCAACCTATAGAGAACAAGGCATTGTAACTTAGTAATGGGGAAAAATCAGCCGCAGGGAGACAACAAGCGGGACTAGTTCTTTGCCCTCTGCCTGTGTTTATTGTACGCGGCTTCTAAATTTCGGTTTCCGTTAATGGGCAGCAGAAATTAGAGTGAGAGCATAACAAAAAGGAATGCTTGTCTATGTGTTAACTTATAACCATATTCACTGCTCACTTTGTTCCTGGCAAGAAGGCACCACAGCTATGCACAAATCAAAGTGTAGTTTAAGTGAATTCTGTGTTGCTGGATTACAACAGGGCACTCAGCCTACACCACTCCAATAGAGTAGGTTTACCAGTAAGAATGCCACATGGGAACTGTACTTCTAGCATAAATCTTGGTGTCTTTGGTCCAGGCATGTGATTTCAAAGGTTGTTGGTGGTCAGACCTAAATGATGCAGAGTGTCTCAATATTCCTGGCAGCTTTCTCCTGTGGACACAGGGCAGCTGGATGATGTACCACCAGTGCACAGGTCCTTTGATGCTCTGGGTTTACAGCAAGTAGGTTAAATTAAGTTGTTCATCATTCAAAAACAGGACGCGCACCAGTGCTGGATAACAGCTCTGCTAGGGACAGCACCAGAGCCAGGGTGTATATTACAGCAGATGCACCCCCCCTCGGCTATTACATTTTAACTTTTCATAAGCTGTAGTTGGGCTTTAAAGAAATTTAGCCAAGTACAAAATTAACAGTGCAAGGGTTAAGTGCTCATTGTGGCCTAGGGTCTAAAAAAACAAAAAAAACAACCTCACCCAAGTGACTGCTCACCTCTTTCTCTCTGGCATGTTCTCAGCCACCTCATGGTCAATGGATGTGATGACATCAGGGGTCCTTAGACTGCCAGAGCTCAGGGGAGAAAAGGCTGCACGGACCAGACTAGCAGCCAGGCAGGACTGAGGTATGGGTGAGTATATCTTTATTTTGGACCATAGGCCAATAAGCACTTAACCCTTGCAGTGTGGGGGTAGCTCCAATGCAAGAGTTTTTTAAATATGCCCAGAAATCTTTAAGCTATTCATTGCTTGTTTTTTGGTTGCCTAGAGCTCAGCTTTTAAGTGACTGTACCCACTTAAAATTAACATTAAAGCTGTAAAATGAGGAGGATAAAAAGGTGTTTCTTCCCATCTTCTAAGTGTTTCTTAACTGCATTGATCTGCTACCAGAACCTGGTATGGAGCCATAAATGGGTAATGCGTTCCTGCCTGCCACAACCAAGTGTGTTGCTTGGCGTATTAAAAAAAATATGCAAATTGGGCAGGAAATAAGAAAGCAAGACAAAAGGTTGCTGTGGGCACCTTGCTTTGCAGTATCAGGTTTTGTTTTTATTTTTAATCAGCTTGCAACAAAACAGACTCCAAAAATGATACAAAGATACCTATACATAGTAAGCTGGCACCAGCCTATTTCCTCACTCCTTGCACCTTCCCTTAAAAAAATTAATGAGGCATTGAGGGTTAACAGGTCATGCTTGCACCAACATGTTCCCTCTCAATGCAAGGGCAGCTATTACAATACATTCAGTAGAGTCCTGTTCCAGGCCCAGTTCTTTTTTAAACGTGTGAAGGACATTTTGCTGAATGCTTACCTCCTATAACCACAAGTTAGCTGGGTGTTATGTTCTTGTTTTGTACTATTTGGTTGGCTTACTTTATTACACTGATGCTTTTCCATACCTTGCTCTTGGTACATTGTATGAGATTCCAAATACATTCCACTGCTGAAGATATCAGACAGCTAGGTCTAGAGTATTTTCCCATGAACCGTATTTTCCACCCCAGGAGTCTGCATCTCTTCTCATGCTTGGGGAGAACTTCCCTTTGCAGCCGAGTGCCTCTTCCTGTAGTGCTGGCTCAGGTTGCAAACCTACACACAGACACTATGTATCCATTCCAGAGACAAGGCAGTCTGCTGCAAAACAGAAGTTCTGCCCAGCATGAGAAGAGATGCAGATTTAAAAAGAGCAGCAAAGAGAAGGGAAACAACCATGGATTACAGTAAGGCACACATTACAGTATTGTTAAAAAAATACTGAGGGTTTAATGTCACTTTAAGCTTCTATTGAGTCGATTGAGCCATAAAAAGCTCCTGTACTTTGTCCAGCAACAGGCGTTTCGCTTATTGCGACAAATCGCTCAGATGTGAACAGGGCCATTGAAATTAATGGGATTTTTTTTAGGGCAGAAAAAGCCCTATGAAACGGTCAATGTGAACCAGGCTTTCGGGCACTTCGGTTACATACCTCTAATGAAGGAAAGTGTGCTGTTCACATCCACTTTGTGTGGTACACATTCAGCACAATGCTACAGTGTGACTTTGGCCATATAAAAGAATAAGCGGTCATTTTAAATACCATTACAATTGTCTATTTCTTTCTGAACCACGGGGAGGGAATATTTTATCCTCTTCATTACATTTTTCCCCTCTTAGAGTCTCTGGTGTGAGCGCATTACCTTCTACAGAATGGCATATCCAAAATGTGTTCAAATGTTCTTTATATATCTAAGAAAGAATCCAGTACAACAGAAATAACAAAATACTGTTTTATTAAATAGAACACTTAAATAGCTACAAAATTCAGCTCAATTAAAACAAGCCCATAAGTTAGAAGACATGTATACAATGTAAAATCTTTCATGAGGATAGTCCCGCTTGTATAGTCTGTCACAGTTACTGAACTCTGACAACTAACTTTTGCCTGCTATTCCAACAAGTCTATTTATCAACAGTGATAGAAAATTCAAAGGGCAACACCAGGACTGCGGGGGGAGTGAGAAGTGGCAGCTGATCCTTTACATTAATTATTGGGGAACATCAGTTCGTCTATCCCTTTGAGATCACATGACCATAGGTCGACATTTGATCAGGCGATGGATGCCAGAGGGGATAGTGTTCAGCTCTCATTTCTAGAGTTACTTTAAAAACATGCCTATGATATCCCAGTTAACTTTCAAATAGAATTCAGGAATCAGCAGGCACTTAAAAAAAAAAAATAAAAAAAAAATGGAGCTAAACATGTATAACATTAATAGAAAAATTTTAAAAATGACAATCAGTAGCAGCTGCAACTTTTACAAGTAGACTCCATAAGGCATTTTGTAATTTACTGCTAATAACTATGTATCCATATTTAACTCAACCAAACTTTTACAGGGCTATTCACAGAAGGGTGAATAGTTTGGAGAAGTGAACAATCTAGGCCAGAGTAGCGGATTTGGAAAAAAGAATTCTCCAATTCAGCTATGTTGTCCTAGATTGTTTACTTCACCAAACTGATCACCCTATGCTGAATAGCCCTGCTAGATTTAGAAAAGCACGGTGTGATCATTCCTCTGATGAAAGCATAATGCATATAAATATACTGTGGGAGCATCAGATGCAATGTTTTTTTCTATGCTTCTCTAAGACTGTCCACCAAAGACACTGTTACATATAAATGAGTGAGGTGTTTATTCTCTGAAGATACTGCATGAGGTAGGCAGAGAGACATCACGTCAAATAGAAATGCAATTGCCAGAAAAAAAAAAAAAAGGAGGGAATTCCCAAACGTTACACACATACAATTTGGAGATTAGTGGATTGGTTGGGCACAATGTATCCATTTTGGATGGACTGCCTCTTTACATGAACTGGGCACTTAAAGAATAGAAGATTTAGGGGACTTTTAGATTGTCGTGTTAATGAGCATACCACTGTTCGATGACAATCATTTCAACATGCACCAACCCAGAACAAGCATGCAGGAGGTAAATATCTGAGCAAAGCCTACTCCCAATCTGTGCATTTTTTCCTGGAGTCAGAGGCTCAAAGACATGACACCATTAGTTTAGCAGACAGCAGAGTTCCACAATGGCAGACTCCAGATTTCCTTCTCAGCCTTTGCTTTATGCAAGGATAGCTACCATATCAGATTTAAATGGGATATCCTTAAGCATAAAATAAAATGCCAGCTTCCCGTTCACATCCTGAATGATGTATGGTGCCAATGCAATTGCCAGCCTTCTAAGATGGCCTTTATAAGCAACTTCAGCCTTGTGGGTGCTATATATGGAAATATTTACGGCTTTAATGAAAGGATATCTACATTAGGGGTAGCTGGGTCTACTACATAAATAATATGAGAAGGACAGAATAAGGCAAGGGGATGGAAGGAAGAAAAACACTGAGAACATGCAATTGAAACAAGAGGGGAATTCACAGTTCATTCGGAGGATGGCTTCTAAAACAGTGGAATATTGTTTGAGTTATCAAATCAAGAAGAGCTGAGGCTACTCAATGATCAATATTGTCAAACAGTATATCCTAAACATCTTTATCTTAGAACAGAGTAAAGTAGGGTTCAATGACTAAGTCTTTACAGTTGTCTGTGATCCTGGTCCTGAGATGGACCAGGGCTGTGAGTTGAACTGGTTCCTCTCGCAAACTTATTTATTCTTGTTCGATATAATTGTATGTTACATCAAAACACAGGAAGCCATTACCCACCAGGGTCAATCAAACTGATAGACTGATTCAGTGAACAAGGGATCTGGGATCTGCACCATAAATGTTAAAAGCATTAGAGGTAAAATTCCACATATAGATAAAAATCAAAAAAGACATGAAGAAAATGACAAGCCGTTACCATAAAAATGTGAAACAAATTATGGCTAAATCTCTGAAAATCACATCAGAGAACTGAAGTCAAGTTTTTGCCAGAAAGTCCTCTTCGCGGTCCTGCTGAAAGATGCTACGCATTACCCTGCATCAGATTCATATAGTAAAAAGTCGCTCCTAGGGCCCAGCTGGTTTCTACATCATTTATTTGCTTAACAAGCTGTAGAAATTAAGATATAAAAAATTACAGGCAAATCAAATAACTTTGCTCATATCATAGGTCACCTAGCCCTGCTGTATTTAGGTGGACTTTTAGGGGCTGTTTAGATCTTCCACCCAGCCCACAGTCTAGTCAAATGCTGTTCATGTGGCATTACCGCCACTAGATGGAGCAGAGGGATTTCCTATGCTTCCCGGTTGCATCTAATGTCGATAATACCATGCAAACTGCATTTGCCCAGCAGATGTACAAATCAGCCCCATAAGGTAACCAGCCATGTTAGAAATAAGCGGCAATTAAAGTATATGTAAACACTAAAAACTAATGAACTTCTCCTATTTGGTCACTTTTGGTCTGTTAAAGATAACATTGAAAGAGTTTTATTGCATCTAATAAGTTACAACAAAAGAGAAAAAAAGAACCTTAATCAGAACAGTGCGACTGCCAGGCAACAAGTATTTGCCTGAGGACAGATACGCAATGCAATGCATCCATGTTTCTTTAGATACAGATTCCTTTGCCACTTTGTGTCCAAAGCAATTTAATTTTTCACACAAGTTACAAGCTGCAAAAAATTGCTTCAACCCCCTGAAACAATTCTAAATATTCTGAAAGCAGAGGCCCTGTTGACTAAAATGGTGAGTTGCAACTTTTTATAGTGCACAATAGTTTATCAAGTGTACACAAATACAATATAATCCCCAATTTTTTAGTAAAATACAAAAAAAGAAAAGATAGGGTTGTGTCACAAATATAGATACCAAACATGTCAGGCCTTAAAAATAATGAGCCCATGAAATGGGTACCCAACATTGTCCAAAGGCAATGCTTTAAACTCCTTTACAAGTCATCAGTTTAGATAATGACCTTATAATTATTGCACTCACTCAAATGGCTGCAGCAATATCGAACATGTGTGGTGCAATTGCTGTTTACATACATGTGTGCCTCCTTCATTCTGTGGTTTCGTGTGTGTTTAGGGCAACAAGGTCTCCCTCCCCCCCCCCCTTACGTTTATTGCTAACAAGCCCCTATGTGATAGTATATGGACAGGCGACAGGTTCTCTTCAATGGAGACATCAGGGGTCTATTATGCCTCTCAATGTCTGCCCTGCAGATGTTCAATCACAATCACCTGTTTAACAGGAATTTTAGCCAGGCTTCACAGCTCTGAAGCAGGAAGAACTGAATACAGCACTTCCCAAATTCCATGATCATAGAACAGGTCAGAGCGTACACAGTACGCTACTGGCTATTCTGCAACACACACAATAATAAAATGATAGCAAAATAGTAGGGCTGGTAATGATTGAAATTTTCGTGTTCGATCGAATTTTTTTAAAATCGATTAATTTTGATTAATTATAACTCACATACAGATCCAACTACATTGGCCTATACACATACAGCACCGCAATGAAGTAATAAAATTAACTAGGATCACACTAATCCAGCACATTAATTTCACGTGCCCCACTCAATATGGCCGCCGCTTGAGTGGGGCAACTCAGAATAATAACGTGCTGGATTAGTGTAATCCTAGTTCATTTTATTACTTCATTGCTGTGGTGTATGTGTATAGGCCAATGCCTTGGCTGGCGCTTGTGCAGAAAGTTTAAAAAAGAAAACGATCAAAATTTTTTTTAATCGATCAAAAAAATTAACGATTAATCGAGAAATTAATAGTTAATTTGCACAGCCCTACAAAATAGGAATGTAGGTGTCAGCAATAAATGCATGAAACATGAAGGATTTTAGTCTCCATTTTTCATTTTGAGATAGAAGACTAAAGTGTACAAAAACACATCATTGCTTAACTTTTTCCAGAATTGTATATAGTGGTTACCTTTAGACGTTTTTCTTTAGGAAATCCTAAATCTTGAAGAAGATGCGTAATATAGCACAAATCCATACAGATAAATGGACGTTTTCCTGATTTTCCAAGATTTGTACATTCTAAAATGCACACAAAAAAAGAAGCAATGATATAAAACACTATATAGCAGTGGAATATAACCTGGGGACTTGCAGCATTTCTCACCTACCCGGAAAGACTGCTTATTATATTCAAGCCAAAAAGGGGAGCGCAATGGAAGACTAGTCTGTGCCAAAGGTTAGAAACCCAACCCGACAGCTTCTCTAGGTGAAAGTTTGTTCTTTGTTTTAAGAATGTTAACCGTGTTCCTGCTTGCGAGATTCTCAAATGTACTGCTTAGTCCTTTACACCTGGACAGAAGTGAGGGAATCTCAAAGACAGAAATAGAATGCCCAATAGACATTCTAACCTTTTCTTTCTGCATCAAAAGCTAGAATACAGTTTTAGTAATAGATATGCTTTAGAGTTGAACACTGGGGATGAAAAAAACAAAAAAAAACATTGAGACTTGCAGAGGTTTCCCCTCCCCATGGCAAGTGTTAACTGCTTTGCCTAGAGGATGATAAATAAGGGGGGATATACTTGCCATACTACTCACTCCCTTGGCAGCTGGTGCTCTCCACTGTGCAATGATAAATAAGGGGGATATACTTACCTTATTCCTCCCTCCCTTGGCAGCTGACACTCTCCTCCACTGTGCGATGCTTCAGAATCTGGGCGGGCCCTTGCCATCCTCCTATAAAATGCAGGACTGCAGGTCGTGCATTGTATGGGATGGCGTCAGAGCTGTGCCCAAAAGGGAGAAGTGGTCATAAGTAGAGGAAGCCTGCTGGAGCAGGGAATAAGGAAAGTATATCACCTTATTCCTCATTCCCTGGGCAAAAAAAGTAGTAAACGTGTAGAGGTTTATTGTCCCAGAGTTCATCTTTAAGGGTTCAAATTTAAAATGTGTGCCTGTGTGTTATGTCCCTTTACTAGAAGTAACGAGGATTAAATAAAATTAAACTAGAGATCGACTATGTACAAAAGTTCAAATCCACTTTTTTCTGCTAGAACAATTCTTTTGGTGCCACATACAAGTGTTATATCCCTTTAGAATCTTACCATTTTTAGCTGCCGTTTCAAAATCTTTAACCTTTACAAAGCCTCCAACCTTTGGATCTGGGGGGAGAAAAAAAGAAAAGAAAAAAAAGTCATATTACGTAGAAGATCAAATGCAAAAAAGCACAAATCCTGTCTATACATGACTCCATGTAGGTTCGGGGTTTTCCTGGGACAGAAGTCTGCAATCACAGATTTTACTTGCAGTGCCACCTTCTGGTAAAATCTAGTACTGCAGTGTGACTCTTAGTATGACACTATTCCAAGTAATGTCAACTAAAAGGATGGAAATCCCATATTTGTTTACTAGGACACAGAAGGGATGGAGGTCCCTCTTTGCTACACAATGGGGCCATGAAACAAACTGGGAATTAGTTTACAATGAGATTCCCTGCGAAACATAACAAAAATACAACTGGATTTTCAGTCTAATGTGCCATGTTTACCTTTCTGATCATGCTACACGCATATATTGGCTGTGACATGAAACATGGGCAGATCACACACCAGCTAACCAAAAATCCTTTCAGGATCATCATGTGTTCATTTAATAAGAACCATGTCAAATGAAAAACAAGCACTTTAAGGGCTCGTTCACACCAAGCGCGGAGCAGATCCAGAGCAGATGCAGACCGGATCAAAACTGCGTCCAATGTATTCCAATGGTATTTTTTGCTCCAGTTCACATCGCAGCGTGCAGTTGCAGAGCAGGTGAAAAAACTGCAGCAGGCCCTATTTTACCTGTTCTGGAACGCATGAAAAACGCATGCCAATGCCTGGAACACACTGAAAGACCATTTTAAACTTAAGAGCCCGGAACGCATCAAAAACGCGTCTAAAAGACTAGCGTGCGTGTGCAGAAACCTGACCGAATCTGCTCTGCATTTGGTGTGAACAAGGCCTCAGGGCCGTGGAGGGATCCTTCATCAGGCTTAACGTTAAGTGTGCAAACCGCAATGTGAACTTAGACATACAGATGTAGAGAAAACCCTTAGGGCCACCTCTCACACCTCTATGACATGTGGAAGTAAAAAAGTTCACAACAAGTGTCACTTGGTATATTGCCACTTGACCAATGGCATGAGTAATGAAAATTGCTACAATACACCAAGTCTGATCACAGGCACAGATTTGACATAGGTAGGTTTAGATCAGCATATGGCAAATAAGAATACTGGACATCTTACCATGCATGCATGAAAAATAACTCTACTTTAAGCATGTCCACCACATGCTTAAAGTACTAGAGGATTTATATAGCGCCAACAGTTTGCGCAGCGCTTTACAATATAACGGAAGACATTACAAATCACAATACAATTCGAGACAAGATGGTAAGCTGGGCCCTGCCCGTGAGAGCTTAAAAGGAGAACTATGGGGTTAAGGCTGTTCTCCTTAGTGTAACGGGAGGACACAAACTAGCGTCCTCCCGTCACCCTAAGCTCAGTATACCGCAAGCTACAGCTCGCGGTATACCGAGACGCCACAACTGAAGCGGATCCCGACAATTATGTCTGGATCCGCCCAGCTGTGTGAGTGACAGCTGGCTCTGCCTATCTAGAGGCAGAGCCAGCTGTACCCGCCCCCTCCCCGTCCGTTCCGCCAGTCAGCGCTGGCGGATCGGAGGGGGGAATCCAGCCCCTCCCCTGTCACGGCAGAGAGCCGTGACAGGATCGAGAGGTGAGCGAACGCCGGTATGTGTTCGCTCACCTCCCGATCTACTGAGCCGACCTGTGACAGTCTCATTGTCACAGGTCGGCTAGAACTATGAGGTGAGTGAAAAGCACTCACCTCATAGTTCTCCTTTAAATTAAGCAGCGTTTAACTTTTCAGCCAAGCGTCTATCATCCAGCAGGACAATGCTCCACAGCATATTTCTAAGCATTGCAAAACTGATTGAGTTGGGGGAAGACACAAATCAATATTGAAAAAAAAATTAAAGAGTTTAATATTAATTTAAATATGAACACTTGTGAGCCATTCCAAATTTCTGACACTAGTGTATGCCAGTGAAAGACGTGGCTCTGCTAAATTTGGCCAGTCAAAGCCACACAGAGGGGGAAGACTTTAGCTGCCTATACACTAAAATTTCCTTTGTTCAACCTGCGGGCTGAATGAAGAAAGCACAACAGATTCCTCCACCAATGCTTACAGGCATTGATGGAGAAATCTTCCATTGTCGTTGCATTCTGACAGCGACCGTCGTGAGAATACCCAAACACAACCGGCAGTTCATTTGAAGATTTTCCATCTGGCTCCTTTGATCAGCTGATTGAGGGATACCAGCTGAAAGGGTGCCCATGGTTGTGTATGGGCACTTTTGCCAGGCCTCTTAGCCGGTTCTTCATGAAGAACCGGCTGAAATTCATATAGTGTATGGCCAGCTTTACGCACCGGGATCCTAAAAGTGGAAGAGGCCTGGCAAAAGTGCCCATACACAACTCAAAAATGTATTATTAGGTACATCTGGTATTTAAATGTCTCTTTTGCAGCCAAACATTTAAGGATTACCATAACGGAACCAATTTATTTACCAGAAAGTTAAGGAAATACTATAAAAGGTTTATACATAACTTCTTCCAGTTTACCAACTATAAGTACACCATTCTGCAATTTAAGAAAAGCACTTATGCAGTAGTGAGTCACTACAGAACTGAACGTATACGAATACTGGTACTCACCTATCAAATGTGTATCTTCCGCACGATCAAAATAATATGAAAAAGAATAAAAGAAGAGGACAGCCACCTCCTTGACAAGGTTCACTTTGCCCTTAAGTGTTTCTCCTACACTTCTATAGCAAGATTCATATACGGAAGTTACTGCAAGACACAAATAGTACAGTGAAAGTAACTTTACCTTGTAACTTCCCCAACATGCACAGCAGTTATGATATACGAGAACAGTAAGAATTCTTAAGTTTCAGCCATGCTAGTAAACCAATAGATCAAAGTTACACAATACACTTGGAAATAATAAAGTTGGCTCACACTTACCATCCTCCTCTCCTTTCACTTTATAAGTTACTCCAGCATGCTCAAATTCTGTCGCAAAGCCTGGTGACACACAGGGAGTTACCAGCTCTTCTCCAGGCTTCACTGGGGGACAAAAGAAACATTATATAAAGAAAGAAAGAATATTTCAGAGGCGCTTGCTATCCTTTATGATGGACCCATTTTAATTTGTAGGTAGCCCTTTAGCTTATGGTTAGGCAGCTAAAAGACGCTCAGTCTCCAATAGGAGGTACTGGGAGCAACTCCGGGACAGAAAACAGACCAAAGAGCAACAGACCAAAACGGATTACTGAATAATGTGAAACCTCATGCCACTACTCCAATCAGATAAAATTGATAATAAAAGCTGCGCTAAGTGAATTAATCTGCAAAGTATCAGATACAATTGATATTAGCTGTGATGCAATGTGAAAAGAACAATAAACAAAATGCATGTGTGCATCATACACCTCAGTGCAAATATATTGCTACAACAATGTCCATAATCATGAATCTTCAACAGTCCGTTATGAAATAGAAGTGGATGAAAAGTAATCTCAGTCTCCTGTGACCATCACCAGAGAAATCGTATGGAATGCACCTCACTTTTAGCAGAGACCCACCAGGGTCTGTATGCGCTGTTCCTCTAATTCAAACCAGGTAGAAGAAGCACCTGATGCCGAACACCTCCCAGGGATTTCCTCCTCTCAGGTAGAAACTCCTATTGCCTGCCTCAGCAGTTGAAAGCAGTCAATTTGTCCAAATAAAAAGTGGAAACTCGTAGTGCAGATGGTGGGTGGAGCATATAAGCTGAACGATCACACACAGTATGTGTGGCTGCTTACACAGTTGTTTTATTTGAAGCCTATTTTTTACCAATGGAATGACGATTCATGATTATGGACATTTTTGCAGCAGTATATTGATGCATACATTTTGTTTATAGTTATTCTTTTCACATTGTATCATGGCTAGTATCAATTGTATCTGATACTGCAGATTCATTCACTTAGCGCAGCTTTTACGATCAATTTTAGACAAATGTATGTTAAGAGTTCATGAAAAAATTAAAACAATTGTGTTGATCAAACATCCAACCCGTTTTGTGAGCAAACAAAACCCCCTTCCTCAGGGCTTGGAAATAAGAATGACAGAATGGACTTATCGCGGCTATGGGTAGTTCTCTCAAAATTTGTAGATTGCAGGCAAAGAACGCCAACATACGTTACGGTCTGGTGGTTTTTTGTTTGTCCCTGATCGCATAAAAAAGGGTAGTGGAAACATTTACACAGTCTGTGACCGAGTTCTGTCAGTTTACCAAACGATGTGCAGACCGATCATGAGAGCAGGTAAGATAAGTCAGCAAGCCATATTTCTGTTCTACTTCTAAGTAATATTGTATTAAATGGAACATTTTACATTTAATGTGACTGATGATCCAGTTTATCTATTTCCAGTTTCAGGCAGACAACACGGCCTTTGCCCAAGAGTATGACCGGTTTTGTTTGTGTTGAGATTTATGACTGACACTTCCTCTAAGAACGAGCGTCTGCACTAATTTATGCATGTTTGATCAGCGGCACAGGGCTGAAACAGTGCCGGTATCCGGACTAGCTCCTCTCCGCCTAACCTGAAATTTGGCGTGCAAAATTTAGGACACAGGCACCAAACCCATCTACAGTTTAATAGATACCAATCTCATCCTTGTGAGTAGCACAATATCACCAAAGTGATAGTTCTGCAATAAAAACCTAGAACCAGGGCCGGTGCAAGGATTTTTTCCTACACAGGCGAAGGTGCATTTTTGCGCCACCCCCCTACCCGCGCGCCCTCAGATGGCTGCTTCAAAATTTTTTTTTTTTTTACAAAAAGGTTAGAAAACAAAAAAAAAAACAAAAACATTTTTGGTTTCAGTTTCGCCCTGACTTTTTTTTCATTTCGGTTTTCCTTTTTGGTGCACCTCTTTTTTTTAAAACTTTCACTTAATTTTTAAAATTTAAATTTTTACTTTTTTTAAATATCTGATTATCTTTCCGCTTTTAATTTTTTAAAATTATTAGTTACTGTATTTTTTAATCTTACAGTTTTACTTATCATTTTTATTACTATTTTTTACTTATTTTTCCATAATTTTTATTTTAGAATGTTTTATCAATTTTTTTAATTTAATTTTTTTTCCACTTAACTTTATTGCTATCACACAGTAGCTAACAATCCCCTGTGTGATAGCATATGGAGGTGACAGGTTCTCTTTATTGAACCTGTCACCTCCAATACAGGAGTTCTAGCACAGCACTGTACTAGAACTCCTGTGACAGCTGAGAGGAAGAGTGCAGCTCTCCCCTCACTGTCTCCTGAGAGGATCTCCGGCGGCAACAAGAGAAAAGGTAGCTGGGGGGGATCTGATCACACCTCTCTGCGCTCCCTCTCTCTTCCTGGCCGATCTGAAGCTGCAGCAGCCGGGAGGAGAGAGAGGGAGCGGAGAGAGGTGTGAACACCGCCGCGGCGTCTGTCCTAAAGGGGCAACCTCCCAGTCGCATCCCCCCCCCCCCCCCCGCGCCCCCACGCGACGCCTCCCCCCCACCGGCGCCCTCAGGCAGATGCTTGACCTGCCTATGGGTAGGAAAAACTCCAGCTGTGGTGAAACTACAAATTCCATTAGGTATTGCAAAGTCACAGGCATGACTGGATTTGTAGTTTCACCACAGCTGAAGGGCCAGAGTTTGCCTATCCCCGACTAAGAATATAAAACCAAGGGGAGCCCAATCCCTGAGACCTTAACTCTATGAAACAAAGTGGCATAGGTTATAGTCAAAGTTTCCAATCCTCAGTCCCCAATTCCTCATACAAACATCTAATACTTACAGGGTATTCCTTCATTTCCTCCCATGATTTCCAGTCTGGCCGACATTAAGCCAAGTCCCAAGTAGCTGTGTAGTGTACAAAAGGGAAAACATTTTCTAACCTGCAGTTCACTTACATGATCAATGCAGTCACATTTTGTGATTAGATGCTTTTAATCATTCTTTGGTCTTGCTTGGGAACAAATGCATCAGCCTCCAAAAACAATAAAAGTGACTGCAACAACCCAAAAGAAAGTCAAGTATTCAAAAATGCTAAAAAAAAAAAAAAGTTTTTGGCTAGAGCAGTTTTTTTCTTTAGTCGGTGTGAACCAATCTTTGTTGGTTTGGTCACTCTAGATAATAGTGATCTCATATTTGTCCTAACTCAGTACACATTCACATCTTCCTAAAAACATATCTATAGTTAGACACTTTATAATTGACGTGCTTATAACAGTCAACATTAGCTGACGACGGACAGCACAGAGATCAATTGATGTCATCCAACTCATGCTGCAATGAATGCAGAGCTGGGTGGAAGTCATTGCATTTACTGCTATCAGTGTGCAAAGATAAGTGTATTACTTTTGTGTATTATAAATAATCTTTAGTAATGAGGTTGAACATAAAATTTACCTGTGTGAATAGAGGTGATATGTGCGGTTAAACAGCTCAAAGGTGGTGATGAATCCTGGTGGTGCACTGGGAAAAGTACTCTGAAAGAAGATTTAAAATTGTTAATGTTAAAAAAAATGAATTCAGTGTTCAAACATGATCTAGTCAGGTATACATTACACATATACACAAATACATATGCACAGATTTCCAGAGCACTATGGGTTAGCAGATGAAATGCTTTGTAGCTCTGTCTGTCTAACTGAAAGCCTGGATTTTGCCATCTCAATAAGGGATGAGTCACTGCTGCAACAACAACCTGCTTATTTTAGCATGGGAGAGAATGGAATGCTTTCAGTAAAGTGAAAAATAGACTAGGGCTCTACCTGCTAGCAAGGTGCAAGACTACATAGTAAAGAGACCCTGTCACCTATTCGAACCCTTTTAGTAAAAGCACATACCTGTAAAGAGACAGAATACTCCACCCTCCCCCCCTACAGCAACACTAAATCAGTGATGCTCTATTGTAGAGAACTGGCCCGCCAAAGACTGCTGGGAAACCGACACTTTCAGGGGTGTTGATCTCCCCTACAGCTTTCATTGCCATCTTCCTCCCTCTGACCTCCATGTCACTGCAGAAGAGAGTAATGACAGGGAGGTCAGTAGGAGAAACCAGCAAGAGCTGTGGGGTACCCAGCAGATCAACACGCCCAAAAGGTCAGTCGCCCAGCAGACTTTGGAGTCATCTGCAACTGAGTAGCGTTGACTGGTGCAGCTCGCAGGATAGGCAAGTGTTAGTCTCTTTTTAAAAAGGTATGTGCTATGCTGAAATTGTTTTATTGGATAGAATGTCTACCATGTAATATTTTATATTCACTTAATTTTAATGTTTAGGTCTTGACCAGGACTAGGTCAGTATTCACAAGTGTGGGATTCCTTATAATGGCAGCATGCAGCAGAGCTAGGTCTCCAAAAAGAGAAACATAGCGCAATAAAAAAAAAAAAAAAAAAAAAAAAAAAAAATACATTTTTTTTA